ACAAGGCTATAAAATAAAATTTTAAAAGAATAAGATACGAATATAATCAGAATACATCTATAATAAAATATATTTTTTAATTTATTATTATTTAAAGGCTTAGTATTTATAATTTTTAATAATTTTTTAACATTAATAAACAAAATTATGAATTTTTACCATAAAAAAATGTAATATTATCTTATTATGAAATATTTCTAAAATAAGTGTGATTAATTAAAGGAATTATAATCACATTTTGTTTACAAGTATTTGTCTTTTAAATTATATCGTAAGTGACTCATTTTTTTTATACTCTCTTGATATGTAACAATAGATAATACTTTAAAAATACTCATGTGTTTAATATCATATGGAATTTTATTGATGTTTTGTATTGTATGTGAACTCTAAAGAAAGGANTTAAAAATACTCATGTGTTTAATATCATATGGAATTTTATTGATGTTTTGTATTATATGTGAACTCTAAAGAAAGGGTATAGATTAAAATTAAAAATTATACATCTTGTTCTATATTTAGAGGTATCCGCGAAATATCTATAGATTTTATTAATTTTTAGATACAAATAATGTGTATTCGATATGTTTGATTCTTCCTACCTTTTTTTTTTTTTAATTTTTGTTTATTAACACTCAATTAAAACATACAGATGATGTGTATTTGATTTGATTGATGTCGGAGGATTCGGTAAAAATTGACGAGAATTTGTTGAAAAAGTCTGTTTCCCGGGTGAATTTAGATACTAGTGTGTACGAGACCTCTAATCAGGTTTCCTTGACCAATGAGCATGCTCTAATCAAGTACAACACTACTCTCACACCCTTTTCTTAGNCGGGTGAATTTAGATATTAGTGTGTACGAGACCTCTAATCAGGTTTCCTTGACCAATGAGCATGCTCTAATCAAGTACAACACTACTCTCACACCCTTTTCTTAGTTTTTTTTTTAAATTCTAGAATAGTATTATATTTATTTCAACTAAATTATATTTGATTGAACTTTGTAGATTGGCAGATATACTCTCCGAGGAGAAGCATATCCGAGAGTGTAGATCATCAATCGGACATTCTCCAAAGTTAGATCAATCCTGAATAATTCAAATCAAGCTCATGAAATTTAGAGCTGGAGAGACCTAATTATTAGCCTCGCAATTCATTATTAGTTAATTAATATGAATAAATCCTGAGTTTGCCAATGTAGTAATGTAACTAATTTTCATATTGTATGTAATTTAATAGGTGGTTAATTGATATTCACATTATAATTTTCTTGTATAAGTAAAATTTGAAGCACGAATTCATCTNTGGTTAATTGATATTCACATTATAATTTTCTTGTATAAGTAAAATTTGGAGCACGAATTCATCGACCGATGAAAGCGGTTACAGTGACCCATTACCCAACATGAATGGTTGTATCTAAAATTTCAAATTTGTACTTAAATAGTAAAATTGATGACGGCGTACTGAAAAAAAAAATATACGCACTTTTAATATTTGAAGTATGAAAGAAATATTACAATGATCCCTTAAATATCAATTCTGTTGATTATATTCACAAAGTTGCTAACAAAAAATCTTATGTATGCTACATGCACCTCACAAAAAAATATCACGTGCCACTCGATTTAAATGATGTGTTTTGTTTGGACTAAATAAACATAATTAGTAGTTGAAGGATCAAAGTAACATTTATCAGATACTTTAAAGACCAAAACTATAGTTAGTCAAAGTAATGTTTCGTGACATTCCTTGTTACAATGGGAGGACTCTTTATTAAACGATAAGAGAAATCCACATAGGAAACATACACTATAGATGCTGGATATGAAAGAGGAGTCAATGCCTTCTTTCTTTTCTTTTTTTGCCATTTTTTATTTGTGAATTGTTAATGAACTTACCTCTTTCGTCGATATTATGTGATATAATATTTCTCTCATATATATGAGTTTTATTATAAGATGTCGAACCTATGAATCTATTCATTATGGATATCAAAAAAAAAAAGCTTATACAATAAGAATAAAAAATGTATTTAGTCCATATTGTTATCATTTTATTTAGGAAAACAATACATCAAATTAATTACAATCCTTTCATAGGAAAAAGATAAACAATAAGAAGAAGAAGAAGAAAAGCACCAATGCAACTAGTGCAATTATTCAACAGCTGTTGTGTAATCTTGATAATATATAGGCATGCAGCAACTACTGCTTCTACTTTAAGCCCTTGTAAGAGCTTGGTAGTTTTTGCTGTCTAAGTTTTCTTTCATCTGAAAGTAATTTTGCAAACCTGTAACAGGCAGGAACATAAAAATTAGTAGTGTAATAACAAATTTTGAGAATGGCAATGGTATCGAATTCTGTATCATACGTAAAGTTATGACTGATAAATGGAGATTAGTTAAAATTTAGTTGAGGTCAAGTTATGACTCAAAAAATGTAGATTAATTCAAAAATGTTAGGATTGAACCCAAATGAACTTATTTTTCCTAAATTCACCCAATTTAGTCGTAACTTTCATTTTACGATTTTGAACTAAATACCATAGTCTTTCCCACAATATTTGGTAGCCGAACCAAAGTAGAATGATAAAGATTATTTCGATTGTTCCCATACCTTTTGAGAGCATCCTCATTTGTGCCACCATTTTTAACTAGCTCAGCAAGACCTGTCTTCAAATTCACTCGTGAAACTGGTTTCTTTAACAACCTTTCTCCAATCTCCACTAGTTTGTCCAAGTTTTCCTTAGTAGCAACATCAACGGTGGAGTTTGTCCTAGTTAACCTGTCCTCCTAGCATTGCATGTGACANAATTCTTAAAGTGTAGTTTTTATATTTTTGGGTTTTTGATGTAATATTGAAAAAATCAAGGTGTTTGATGGTATATGAAGAGATAATCACTAGAAGTGTCCAGAATTTTTTTGAGAGGTCTGTTCATGTCTTTGGAGGAGTGTTCATGTATTACTACATGGAAAAACTAAAGAGACAAAATCTAGTTTAATGGTTGGAGGCTGCTAGCTATTGAATGGAAAGATTCAAGGACTTTTGGCTGGAATAGAAAAATATAAAAGGGGGCTGGACTGTTGCCAAAACAGTGGAGTGTATTTGCAGAAAAAAAACAGAGAGAAAGAGAGTAAAAAAATTTGTTTTGCAGCCAGAAAAAATGCAACAGGCTGTTCATGAGCAGAAGCTTTATTCTTTTGTATTTCTTGGATGTTTTTACTGAAAAATTCAGATAAGTTATTCCCTTTGTATTCCTTGATGTTGTGATCATTCTTGATGAAATATAAAGGTGTTTCTTGACTGAAATTGGTGTGGATGTATAACAGATTTTTTGTCATCTGTTTTACTTGATTTTGTGTTTCTTTGGTGATCTATTTTGCTTTCAATACNACTGAAATTGGTGTGGATGTATAACAGATTTTTTGTCATCTGTTTTACTTGATTTTGTGTTTCTTTGGTGATCTATTTTGCTTTCAATACCCTAAAAAATTGGTATCAGAGTAGATTGCTATGACTACTATGAGTAATGTGCTTCAACTCCAATTTTTCAAATTGGGGAAAGATAATTATGAAAATTGGACTATTCAAATCATGGTGTTGTTACAATCACAAGNATGTGCTTCAACTCCAATTTTTCAAATTGGGAAAAGATAATTATGAAAATTGGACTATTCAAATCATGGTGTTGTTACAATCACAAGATTTTTGCAAAATTGTTGAAAAATGTTACATCGAGCCGACTACGGAGGAAGAGCAAGCACTTAATGATGCTCTAAAGATGGTGCTTAAGCAATCAAGGAAGACAGATAAGAAGGCTTTATTTCTACTTTACCAATGTATTGACGATAATACTTTTGAGACGATTTCTTCCGCCACCAGCTCGAAGCAAGCTTGAAAAATTTTGAAGAGTATGCATAGAGACATTGATAAAACAATTCGGGTTCGTCTTCAAATATTGCGAAATGAATTTGAAGGGTTAAATATGAATGGAGCCGAGTCAATTTCAGAGTATTTTTCAAGAACTTTGGTGATTATGAATCAAATGCGAAAGTATGGAGAAGATATTGATGATGTTCGTGTTATGAAAAAAATACTACGAACCTTAACCCCAAAATTTGAGCATATTGTTGTGGCCGTTGAGCAATCCATGGATTTCAAGNAAAATACTACGAACCTTAACCCCAAAATTTGAGCATATTGTTGTGGCCGTTGAGCAATCCATGGATTTCAAGTCTATGAGCGTTGGTGAATTGATGGCGACATTGAAAATACATGAGCAACGTATTAATAAAAAGATTTCAAGTTCTCTTGAACAAGCTCTCCAACCCTAGCTTTCTTTGAAAGATGAAAGAAGAGAATTTCAAGGTAGTACATCTCAAAAAGGAAGAGGTAATGGAACACGAGGTAAAGGTTATGGCAATCGAGGACGAGGCTACGAAGGTCGTGGAAGCGTCTATGCAAATAGAGGTAGAGGAGGAAGAGGTTAATTCACTAATGATGTAAGAAATCAAAATTCTTATGGTTCAAGAGGAAGAAGACGAAGAAGAGCAAGAGAAAATTATAACAATCAAGGTTTTGACAAGAGAAATGTTAAATGCGTCAATTGTCACAAGTTTGAGCATTATAACAATAAGTGCTGGGCAAGTGCAAATAAAGGCGTTGAAGAACGTGTGANTAAATGCGTCAATTGTCACAAGTTTGAGCATTATAACAATAAGTGCTGGGCAAGTGTAAATAAAGGCGTTGAAGAACGTGTGAATTATGCCGAGAAATCAAATAATGAAGCGGTATCTACTTTACTGTTGGCTTATGATGGATTTGAGGNGACGAAGAAGAGCAAGAGAAAATTATAACAATCAAGGTTTTGACAAGAGAAATGTTGAATGCGTCAATTGTCACAAGTTTGAGCATTATAACAATAAGTGTTGGGCAAGTGCAAATAAAGGCGTTGAAGAACGTGTGAATTATGCCGATNTGAGCATTATAACAATAAGTGTTGGGCAAGTGCAAATAAAGGCGTTGAAGAACGTGTGAATTATGCCGATAAATCAAATAATGAAGCGGTATCTACTTTACTGTTGGCTTATGATGGATTTGAGGGAAGATAATGGCAATGTGTGGTTTCTTGATTCCGGGGCGAGCAACCATATGTGTGGCAAGAAGCATATGTTTGTAGAACTTGATGAAGTGAAGCAAAAAACAAAGTTATTTTTGGCGACTCCTCCAACATTCCGGTGAAAGGCAAAGATAAAATTCTTATTAAGCTAAATAATGACAATCATGATTTTATTTTCAATGTCTATTATGTGTCAGATATGAAGAATAGTATTTTGAGTATGGGGCAACTTTTAGAAATGGGTTATGATATTAGCATGAAGAATCTTTATCTTACAATTAAAGATGCTCATGGTAATTTGATTGCTAATGTGAAAATGTCAAAGAATAGAATGTTTTCTTTGAATATTCAACATGATGCTATGAGATGCATGAATGCTATTATTAAAGATAATTATTGGTTGTGGCAATTGAGACTTGAACATCTTAATTTTGGTGGCTTGAAGCTTTTATCTAGCAAGAAAATGGTGAAGAGTTTACTCTACATAGATTATCCGAATGAGTTATGTGAAGGGTGTATTCTTGGCAAGCATCACAGATTAAGCTTCTCAAGAGAAGTCAAGTGGAAAGCATCACGACCCTTGGAGCTTGTGCACACCGATGTTTTGTGGTCCTTTGAAGCCTATGTCAAATGGTAAGAATTGCTACTTTCTTACTTTTATTGACGACTATAGCTGGAAGATTTGGGTGTATTTTCTAAGAAAGAAGTCTGAAGTGTTTGAAGTTTTTAAGGAATTCAAGAATCTTATTGAGAAGCAAAGTGACTATTTTATCAAGAGGTTGAGATTCGATCAAGGTGGTGAGTATACTTTTGATTTATTCAAAGACTATTGCAAGGAGCATGAAATTGTGTATCAATTCATGCCAAGCTACACACCTTAATTGAATGGAGCTGCGAAAAGAAAAAATAGGACTATTCTTGATGTGGCTAGAAGCATGTTGAAAGGAAAGAAATTGCCTAGAGAATTTTGGGCCGAAGCTGTAGCATGTGCAGTGTACCTGTTGAATCGATGTCTAACCAAAAATGTTTGTTTCAAGACCCCGGAGGAAGCTTGGTGTTCATTCAAGCATAGTGTAGCCCATCTTAGAGTTTTTGGATGTATTGCTTATGCAAAGATTCTTGAAGCAAGGAGGACAAATCTTGATGATAAAGGTGAAAAATGTATTTTTATTGGATATGGTGATAGAACAATGGAGTACAAGTTATAAAATCCCATTACAAAGAAAGTGATCATAACTAGAGATGTAATCTTTGAAGAGGAAGACATGTGGGATTGGAAAGAAAAAATTTTAGCCACCGAAGTAGAACTTATGCTTGAAGAAGAAGAGTCCGAAGAACTAAGGAAAGTCCAAAGAGAGCCACAGACACCTCCACATGGATCCCCCTTATCTTCTACAGATGAATTATCATCACCACCATCATCATTTTCATCATCGGATTCAAGTTCAAGTGAAAGACCAAGGAAAATGAGAAGTTTGCAAGAGATTTATGAACCTATGAAAAATTTTGAAGGTAACTTGAATTTATTTTGTTTGTTCATGGATTATGATCCTTTATGTTTTGAAGAAGCGGTTCAAGAATAGAAATTGAGAATAGCAATGGATGAAGAAATGAAAACAATTGAAAAGAATAATACATGAGCACTAGTTTGTCTGCCCCAAGATTGCAAAACAATCAGTGTGAAGTGGGTATATAAAACCAAGAAAGATGCAAATGGTGAAGTCCAAAGATACAAGACAAGGTTCATTGCTAAAGGTTACAAGCAAAGGGCCAAAATTGATTATGATGAGGTATTTGCTCTTGTTGCTTGTTTGGAAACGATTAGGTTGATGATTTCTTTGGCAGTACAAAACAAGTGAAAGATGTACCAACTTGATGTAAAATCGACATTTTTGAATGAATTTCTTGAGGAGGAGATTTATGTTGAACAACCTTTGGGGTATGTGCAAAAAAGACATGAAGATAAAANGGAGATTTATGTTGAACAACCTTTGGGGTATGTGCAAAAAAGACATGAAGATAAAAGGTACAAGTTGAGAAAAGCTCTTTTTAGATTAAAGCAAGCACCACACACATGGAATGCTAGAATTGACAAATACTTTCGTGAGAATGGTTTTCAAAAGTGTCCTTATGAGCATGCATTATATATGAAGATGGATGGCAAATGGAAGTGTGCTATTTGTTTGTTTTTATGTTGATGACTTGATCTTCACCGTCAATGATCCAATGATGTTTGATGAATTCAAGAAAAGTATGATTAAGGAGTTTGAAATGATTGATATTGGCTTAGGGCATGTTTGGCAAATCAAGGTTGGACTACACTGGATTGGATTTAAAGTCCTAACAAATCCAATGAAATCTCAATAACCGGGATTAGTAATGGGATAAAAACTACTTTTTTAATCCTATCCCAGATTTGGTAAGTAATTTATGATGTAGTGGGCCCATGGATAAAATATATCTTATTTTTAAACACATGTCATATGTTTGATAGCAATTGACAATATTACCCTTGAATCTTATCCAATCTTATGNTTGACAATATTACCCTTGAATCCTATCCAATCTTATGTCATGTTTGGATTGGGAATTGTTGGTTACCCCCTTTACTATTTAAGTGAAATGGTAGGAAAACTTATGTATTTTTTTTGGGTGGTGTGGTAGTGATGCTGG